TTTCTATTCACAATGTTAGAAGAAAAACAAAGTTTGAATAATAAAAAATTAAGAACTCACTTCTAAATCTCTTGTTTTAAATCATTTGATCCAAATGGACCCTAGGTCTCTTTTTTTTATTTTTTTATTTTTTTAAAAGTTTGTTTGTGTTTTAACAACCACCTTAAATTGGTTAGAAAAAACTAACTACCAACTAGAACATAATTGAATGACTATACATTGTAATATTGAATCTATTTCGAGGAATGATTTCAAATTTAGGAATATAGTTAAAATTATACAATTGTAAGGTTTTGTGACGTTGAGTATGTACTGGTAATATCCCCAAAATCAGGTATGAACTCGTAAATGACCCTATAGGTTGAGGGGTTTACTGTAGTTTTGTCCAAAATATTGGATTTGATACATTGTAATATTGAACATAATTGAATGATTAGATACACTGTATGATTAAATCTATTTTGAGGAATGATTTCAAATTTAGGAAACAATTAAAATTATACAATTGAATTTTTTTTATTGGATTATTAACAATACCAAATACTTACATAGGGTTCAAATTTTTCATTGTATCTAGTCAATATAAATACAAAATCTTACTTTGTATTAGGGTTCTAAAATCTAAAATGGATTCGGATTCTCTGCTTGGATTTTGTCTACCATGACGATACCTACCATTAAATTAGGGGTTTTTTTCTTTCTTAATTATGAGGAAATTGGGTTTTGTTTCAAAGATGATGTGTCAACTTAAAGACCCTTGGATTAGATTTTATTAAGGTGGTGTATGCAGGAAAGAAGTCAAGCAGATCATGGCAGAGAGAATCCAAGCAGAAGATCGGGATCCATTTCGGATAATTTGTATTTAGTTAACTAATCTATTGTTATTCCTATAAAAGAAAAACTAATATATTTTTGTAGTCAAAATTCAAATCATTACATTCCAATCAGTCCATTTTGTTTGACATCACTAGGCACACTAATTCATTTGAATTTTATGATTTTGTCCTATTCTTTTATGTACTTCTAACCTTGTATTTAAGCAATGCAACTATAAACATTAACCTAAATAAAATAGTCTGTTATGGGTTGACACTATAGAAAAAACGAATTTAAACGGGTTGAGTTAGTATTGACTCGGTAAAAAATTTCTCCACGGGTTGAGTTACTTATGACCTTTTTTTTTTTCTTTTTTTTTTTTTATAAATTTTTTTATTTATATCATAGAGTTACTTATGACTTTAAGGTTTTTTTATAAATCTTTTAGTACAAGTGATTAGAGGAAGGGTGTTACACAAATATTTATTGGATGCCTATGAATTTCGAACATTTTCCCACATGGGTGGATATGGAAGAGCTCAACCAACTGATGGGTGTGAGCATCGGTTGAAACCACTGGTTTTTTACCAATTCAATCTTTTATTGAATTAAAGATGTTACAATCCAAAACTATCAAATATCAAAAAATAGACCTAATCAACTAATCAAAACATAAAGCCCTAATCAATTAATCAAAACACAAGCCTTAATGAAAGTGTAAACAAAAAGAGACGAGAAAAATTAGATTATGGGAGGATATTAGAAGTTAGAATGAAAAAATGCAGGTAATTCATCAATTTTATACAGATTTTATCACAAAAAAATATTAGGAACAAACCAATGATGCAGACTAATTGACAAAAAATCCTAGAGAAATTGAGGACCAATTTGGTATCCTACGTAGATCCAATTTTATAAACTCAAAAACATATTTTAAGTCCAAAGCACAAATAACTCGTTTGGTAGGGCCATTTTTTAAAAATCCAAACGAAAAAAAAAACTCAAAAACACCACATTATTGAAAAAAAAATAAAAATGAAGAAGTGATTTTAAGGGTTTTTTTTCCTCTCTCTCTCCCCCCCCTTTCTTTTGTTACATTTAATTTGGGAATTAGGGTTTTTTATTTTCTTTTTTTTTTATAATTTTTTTTAAATCTTGAAAATATTTGGAGTTCAATACCAAAAAAAAAATTTAGATATTAAAATCAGTATTTACAAACTCATGTGTTAAAAAAAAATCATGATTTTTGAGTTCATTTTTTTGAGTAGGATACCAGACGGGCCCTAAGAGATCCAACAACAAGATTAATTTTTGAAACCAAATGATGCAAACAGATTTACAAAAATTCTTAAGAAACTAATAAACCCAAGCAATAAGATTCAATTTTGGTACCAAATGATAAATTTAAATTTAAAACTTGAAAAAGAACAGATCCCAAACCAAATGACAAAGCTATAACGACCATAAACTTCATGAAGAACAAAGCCCCAATAAAACATGCTGCAGATAATTCATCAACACAAAAACAGCAACCAATTCCTCAAATTTAAACCCATTTTTCAACTTGGGGATTTGAAGGGGGTGAAATCGGGTGGGTGGGTTTTGGGTGGCTGAAGGTTTTTTTATAAATGTCTAGCCCAAATGACGTCATTTTGGCCATGTCATTTTATAAAAAATTTCCTAGGCCGAACGACTTCATTTTTCACATGCAGTTTTCTTCTCTATAGGTTGTTTCATCTCTCTCTCTCTCTCTCTCCTTTCTTTGGTTAATTTCAATTTGGAAATTAGGGTTTTTCATTTTCTTTTTTTAATTTAATTTTTTTTAGATCTTGAAAATATTTTTGAGTTTAATACCAACAATGTTTTTAGATTTTAAAATCAGTATTTAAAAACTCATGTTTTACAATAAAAATCATGATTTTTGAGTAAGATACCAAACGGGCCATGAGAGACCCAAAAACAAGATTAATTTTTGAAACCAAATAATGTACACAGATTGACAAAAATCCTCACGAAACTAATAAACCCAGGCAATAAGATTCAATTTGGTACCAAATGACAAATTTAAATTTAAAACTTGAAAAAGAATAGATCCCCAAACCAAATGACAAAGCTAAAACGACCATAAACTTCATAAAGAACAAAGCCCCAATAAAACATACTCTAGATAATTCACCAAATTTATTATTTTAGCTCTAGGAACGCAAAAACTGCGACCAATTCCTCAAATTTAAACTCATTTTACAACTTGGGGTTTTGGAGGGGGTGATATCGGGTGGGGTGGGTTTTGGGGCACTGAAGGGGTTTTTATTTTAAATGCCTAGTCCAAAAAGGCATCGTTTTGGCCATGTCATTTTATAATAAAAAAATTCTTGGGCAAACGATGTCATTTTTCCCATGCAGTTTTCTTCTCTACAAGGTCGTTTCCAAGGCTGTCATGGGCAAACCAAAAACCTCCAAGCCCATTTTCATGGTTGCCTTGGGGTTGGTTAAACCCATTGACCCATGGTGGCTTTGCTATATTTGATGTTTATTATGTTTTTTTCTTTCCAGAATCACTTGCATAATTGGGTATTGGGTAAAAATTAAAAACAAATATGAAAAAATAACTTGCATGACCCATACAAGAATCACTTGCACAAATTGAGTATTGGGTAATAATTGAAAACAAATAAAAAGACAGAATTTTTTAAATAAATAAACAAGCAACAATAACTCACATCTTAAATTCACAAGGTCATAAAAAAAAAACCATGTTGATAATTTAATCAAGTAAATTGCAGCTATTACATTTTACCTCTCTATTTGTATGAAAGAGACATAAAAAATTATATTAAAAAAATGAGAAAAATGAAGAAAATAAATAAAGAAACAAAGAAATAGGTTATGGGTATTACATGGGTTAACACGACACATTTAATAAATGGGTTACATATGTATTTTAGTGGGTTGGTGAATTGCCCCAACACTTACCCATTTATTAAACAGATCATGACGAGTTGACTCAAAAATTTAATAATGTGAATTTTGAGTGTATCGAGCAGTATCGGAAATTGCCACCCCTAGTTAAAGAAGGCATGGGGAACCTTAATCTTTCTCAAATGCTTATAATAGTAAGGCAATGCTATCATACGCATTATTCCATATTGTCTGTTTCTAATTGATCACCTGTTTGACTTTGCTTGTGAAAAAAAATATTTGGCTCATAAACCCATACATTATTTGACGTTAAAATATTCGTCAAACAAAACTTACATTATTTGAGGAATAATGTTCACCCACTTGCATGTTTAACGTAAAATGGAATGCCTGAAGAAGAAATCAAAGTTGCCATCAGCTACGTGCAACATTATCATACCTTTCCATGGTACATAGACCACATGTTACACATTTTCATATACCCAAAAAAAATATAAATAATAAAAATAAAAAGAGAGGATACATTCGTTACTGAAAAAGCAGAGAAGGTTAACAAATGTGGTTGGTGTGAGTGGTTCGGCACTCTCATTCCTTAAGAGAGGTCAGGGGTTCGATCCCTGCACTCGTATGAAGTCACCACTTTGGCCAGCACTTTACCCCTTATGGGGCGACCCGGTGTGAGCGGGGATTAGTCTAGGTTGTGGTTCAGGCTTAAAAGGTTCCACCCATAATAGGGGCCCATCCAGAACCACCTCGTGGTTCAGACCAAAAAAAAAAAAAAAAGCAGAGAAGGTTTACAAAATTTTGTTACTTTAAGCTCATGGTTCCTCTATATCAAGGGTTTCTAGCTCTTGATCAGTAAGATGTCTATCTGATCAGAATTTGCCCAAAAAGACATATTTGATGAGTTTATACAGTTCAATGGCTTCATCTAATTTCTAATTTGTATGACGCGTAGTGTTTTGTGTTCCATGGAAACACAACTAAATGTACAAGTTGCTCTAACATATATATACAACATGCCAGACAGTCTAATAAAAGAACACTAACCATATAACAATAATATAAGCTCAAACCAAAAGAGTGTTAGAAATTTGTAAAAGATAAATGATCTACCATAAAAGAAACAACAATTAGCCAGGCAAATGAACACCCTTAAAAATCAAAACATTACATTGCAAATGCCTCAATATATTTTCTTCTATCAAAATCACATTTCACAATAGTTCAGTGTTTTCTCTTGTGCAACTTTTCTATTGTGCATTCTAATAAAAAATATTTTCTCCTGTGCTTTCACTTGAGCAACCTTTCATTAAAGTTCCTATGTGACGGAAACCACGAGCCCTCCCTTTGAAGTAAATCTGTGGTAATAGTGACCAGTTAGAATACTTCTGTATCCCTTCCAGGACTTCATTGTCCGTAAGAAGATCAAAACTTCCAAATTCAACCTTATGTTTCTTCAAAATTTTAACAGCCATTTTGCTAAATCTACATTTGGGCTCCTCAGGGGTTCCTTTCATGAAAAGCATGACTCGATTAGAGTCAATCAGCTTCTGCAGTCGCCTTTTCAAGGCATCATCAAGGCCATTTTGAGCTTGAATTTGCTCTTTAGAAGATTCAATTTCTTTCACTAACTCTTGGACTGTGCCAAGGCTGGCAGCAACAACCCTAGCAACTTTAGTGGCCAAACTAGGTGGATCTACACCTTCTGATGTATCAACGACATTTCCCTCATAACAAAAGAAAACACAAACAAAAAATGACCAGGAGAAGAACAAGATACAGAACAATCGTAGAACCCAAGCCAACAACAAAAGTTTATCAACAGCAAAATTCTTTTTCCATTCATCACTCAACTCATACTTACATGCATTTCCAGTTATTCAATTAAAGTAAGCGTTATATTGCATGGGACATCTAATTTTCTAGTTCATCTTCCAAACTGTTGGATCATAAATCCTGTGAGAAAAAACGCAACAGTTTCAGGCTTGAGCACATGATTCATAAACACCTCAAGTTGTAGTATAAAAAAAATAACACCATCTAAAATTCTCTCGGATCTAGTAATCACTTTTGGGGGTGGATAGTCGTTTGAATTGATAAAGGTTTCACTATGACAATATTGAGAAATAATCACTATTATTTGTAACCCATTCACTAACTAATAGATGGTTTGATAATAATAAAAACAAGGGATGGGTGGTTCACATCTCTCTTCGGCGTTGGCCCCACTACCTCTTTCTCTACTCTCTCTCTCTCTCTCTCTCTCTACGGTACCCTTTCCCCCAATGCTCTCACATTCCTTAAAACACTTCAAGTGACGTCATGTGTAATTCTGCAAGGCGTTAAATTCTTCATTACCTTCATCTTTTTGTTTCTCTCAATCTGTGTTTTTCTCTTACGAGTTCAATTTTTGTGTGACTGATTTCAGAGATTCCAGTTCTCCAACTCTCAAATTACATCTATGATCCTGTTTTCTACACCATTTTAAAAACCCACAAGTCTTCTGTGGGTTTTCAGACTGATCTGAGCAGCAGAGTCGCCATTGAAGTTCAGAGAACTTCATTTGTGTATTCGGATCAGATGAGGAGTAGTGTACTGGACGCCATACTAGTGTTTATATAATGAATGGCTTGTTGGATGAAGATGCTTATAAAGTTGATTTTGCCTAAATTCTCTTCGTAATTACTCTTTTGATTGATTCTATTATTGCACAATACCCCAATATTGCAATATTGCATACTTCTAATTTTGGACGTTGAATTGCATCCATTAGATGTATTGGTTGTTTTATAGATATATACAATTCAATGGCCGAGACTCGAAGTATGTAACAAATTCTTAACTTAAATACTTACTGGAGAATCTCCCTTTATTTATCCATAACAGCAACAACAAGTAAGCAAGCAAACATGTATATACTATGCATACCTTCACAAAGGCAGACACATCAAAAACCGAATAAGGCTCAGGCTGTTCTTCAGCTTCAATCTACGTACAATATTAATCAAGAATTGGAAGGTTAAAAACATAACACCACAAAAAAAAACCCAGTTAGAGATGAAAAGTGGGCAAAGACCTCGTCCATGTGCTTCCAAGCCTCACACCTCAAGGGCCAGACCACGCTTCCAAATTCTAAACCTTCCCAAACGCACAAAAACCAAGAGAGAGATGGCGACAAAGAAAGAAAAAATAGACTATATATGAAGGCATAATTTAGGGAAACCTTTTTTTTTTTCCAAAGAATTTACGGAAACTTTCAAAATACTAAGAAATATCCTTATTAATTAGACTTCTAAAACAAGATCTAAAGATATTTGGAAGGCTGTGTCTCCCTCCCTACATAGGACCCAATTCTTCCAATCTGAGTTAAAACCATGGCTAGCTGCAAATCTTCTCTCTAAACGTGGTTGGAGGGGTGGAATACCTTGGAGCTTGGTATTCATCTATACTTGCTGGCACATCTGGAAATGGAGGAACAATTATGTGTTTAACGAGGAGGAAGAGCTGCCCTTCGAACCTCAGAACCTTATCTTGGCTAATGCCAATGAATGGTTCACAAATGCCTTTGCTACCAATTCCAAGATTACCAAAGTTCCTGTTCTTGGACTGTCTCAAGACTGGTAGGAGCAGGAGCAGGTTCTCCAGCCTTAACTAACCCATCAACCCTAGCAACTTTAACCTACAATATTTATCAGCAATTAGAGATTAAAAACAAAACACCCCCACACACAAAACAACAGAAAAAACCCAGTTAGAGATGAAAAGTAACCTCGTCCATGTGCTTCGAAGCCTCACACCCCGAGGGCCAGACCACGCTATCAAGCTCCTTGAATTGCACATCCTTCACTGATTCACCCATCGATGACAGAGTCTTCCAAATTATGAACCCTAAACGCACAAAAAATCAAAAACAAAGAGAGAGATGGAGACCAAAAAAAACGAAAAGACAGACTATTATATATAATTAAAGACAGAGGCATAATTTAGGGAACCCTTCTTTTTTCCTACAGAATTTAGGGAAACTTTCAAAATATATACTACGAAATATCCTTTATTAATTAGACTTCTAAAACAAGATAACTTAATTAATATGAAATAAAATAATAAAAGCGAAATTTTAATATAAAAAAAGTTAAATTAACGTAGTAGGTATTTTGTTTTATAAATATTCACTATCTTTGTAGATTTTTTATAGTTATTTTTATATTTCACTATCTTTGTAGTTTTTTTTTTTGGTTCTGAAGCAACAAGTTAAAACAAGCAGTTAACACCAACAGGAGTTGGTCCAAGTGGAAGGGGCTTGGATCCTTTAAACAAGAGGTCATGGATTCGATCCCAGGCGCTTGCGAATAGAGCAGACTTTGTTGGGAGAGGTCCCCGCTTTGCGCCCGACAGTACCTCGAGGGTTAGTCCCCGCAATCGCGCCGGGGATACCTTGGTTTTCACCAAAAAAAAACAAGCAGTTAACACTATTGCTTTCTTCCTCTTGACGTTGGTCATATATCTTTTTTTTTGTTTTAAACGTGTTGCTTTTTTTCTCAATAAAGTTGTATCCCTATTCTTTAAAAAAAGATTTTTTTTAAAAAAAAGGAGTAGGAGGAGTTGACACAAGAAGCACCTAAAACCGAGATTTTTTTTTTTTTTGGGTCATTTGTTAGGGAATGGGGGAACCTCAACTTCCTTCATGGTATCAGAGCGGGTTAGCCCAAGTGTGAAAGTCCAACAGCCACACGTGCTCTACGTCACCCAATATGTGTTGTCTACGTGTTAGGCTTGAAAATTCACCACATATGCGGGGTAGGGATGGCAATGGGTCGGGTAGGGGCCAGGTATGACAGCACCATCCTTGTCCTTGCTCTCCATCCCCACCACCGTCCCCGAACCCATCCTCCTTTAATAGGTTTCGAGGAATCTTCGTACCCGTCCCCGTTGGGGGACTATCCCTCATACCCGCTCCGAATCCCCGATTTTTTTATTTTAACATTAAGTTTCATATTAAATTATCATTCAACACATCCAAATTGTGTCATGTAAAGGGCCCACTTTTTTTGCTTAAGTGGAATAAAATATATAATACAATAATATAATTACTTGTTTAGTTAAAAAAAAATATAAATATTGGAAAAATTAATACATAAAAATCTTTCTTCTCAATCTCTCTCCCTCGAACTCTCCCTCCTCTAACTTCATAACCCAAAGCCACCCTAACCACCACATGGTCGAGACTGACGTTTCTAGCACTACCACCGCTTAAACAGCAACGCCAACAAACAATGCCTGCAAAACCGGAGTAAAAGCGTTGGGCTGATGAGGAGGATGACCCTCCCGAGGAGCCCAGGAAGAAAAATGACACGTCGTCTACTTCCTAGTCGAAAGTGAACGTTACCGAATTGAAGATCACCGAGAACTAGTTCCTCAACGACCCCGAAGACTAATATTAGTGCCGCATGATCTCTCTCTCTCTCTAAAATTTTTCTCTGAAATTTTCAACTTCTTTGTTTTAGTTAGGGTTTTGATGCAAATTACAGTAGAGTAGGGCTAGGGTTATTGGGTGATTTTGTAAATAATTTGGGGGATTTAAGAAGCCCAGTTGTCCAAGCAATTACTTGGCCCATGATTTTGACCTCTGCCCACAAAGATCTCATTACTCAGGCTTACAATGGTCGTTGATGAAGTTAGGGGTGAGGGTGGTCATGGGAGAGAGATGGAGAAGAAAGACTTTCATTTATTAATTTTTTTCCATTTTTTATTTTTTAAATTAAACAAGTAATTACATTATTTTATTATATATTTTATTCCACTTAAACAAAAAAGTAGGCCCTTTACATGACACATCATCACTTGTGGTAAAAAGACTAAAATAACCATGCCACATCATCAAAACTGACAGAGTTATTAATGGAGATGACGGTTGGGTGTAAAGTAGAACATGAAACCACGATCAATGGGGTTAAGTAGGCCACTTTAACTTTTTTTTGGGGGGGGGGGGTTAAAGGGAGATT